AAAAATATTTTAATAATAAAAGTGGAAGTTTGTAATAAGGAAAGAAAGGGTAAAAAAAGGGGGGGGGGGGGGGGGGGGATTTCTGAATTTCAAATGTCAAAAATTTCTGAGATTAATCAGAAAATATCTGAGTTTCTGGCAGAAATTTGCTCCTTTTTTCTGTCTGCAGTGGCCCAAACACGGCATCACAGAAAACCCTTTCTGGTTTTGGATCTAAAATAAATTTATTTGATTTGTATTTGTTTGATTTTAGGTTGTGTTTGTCTGACTTACGCGTGCAGCTCGGGTAGCCATAGTAACCGGGGGCGCACTGGTCACATGACGCGCCGCCGTAATTGGGTCGGCAGTGGCAGATACCCGACACAGTGCAGATGGTACCGAATGAGGTGCGAGGATCACAGGAGCATTCTGGGAAAAAAAAAGTAAACGTAGATACAAAGAAACAAACATTCATATCTTTATGTTTCATTAAGGAGGTCAAAAAGTGCCAAAATTCAATCTGAATATATTTAGATGATGAGTTATGACAAAATTCTACTTTCCTCTGAGATTTATAAAATATTTTAAAACTGCTTTTTCTATCTGCTGCCCTCTGCTCTTCCTATTTAATTAAATTTATTATTTCCATGTTGTATCTTTTAATTTATTTCAGTTTGTCCGTGATTGTTGATTGTGTGTGGGGTTGTTTGATGTTTGCTTGACAGCATATTTTATCAACTCTGTAACACAAAAAGTACTTTTTAATTTAAATAGTCACATATAAGGCACAATGTACAAAGATATTTTAACTTTTATTTTGAAAGTTAATCAACAAAGGCCCAAAATGAATCTGACATTGATGTCAGATTCTCCCCAGGTTTTAGCTGAATCCTGTCCTGTAGTTAATGTGTTTATTTCTTTCCCTTCAAGGCTCATTTATTAAAAACCTTCTGGTTTCAGCAGCTGAGTAAGCAAACTCTGGGAGCCGCCATTTTGTTTTTTGTAACCCTTGAACTAGACCTGTCTCATACTTTCACATTTCCCTTCTCGTCTTTCCCACCTACTCTAACAAAAAACCCTATTCTTTATGAAGCACAGTGCCACTCCATAAAGTCCAGCCTCAGACGAAGTGCTTCCATATGTGAGCTGACGGTAGAAACAGAACAGATAGATTGGGTCCGGTCTGAGGCTGGTTACCTTGGCAGTTGGGGAAGGAGTGGAACCCAGATCTGCACTGTTCGCAGCGCGGACCCTGAAACTCTGGCCTGCAGAGGCAGCGACCCGACGCGTCGCAGCGCTCAGGGAGAGAGCCGACTGTGCTGCAACCGCACACTGCAGAGAGAGGTCAGAGGTCAGGGAGCGTCCAACTAAAGATGCTGCAGTGGCCGTAAGGGCAGAAGAAAAACATTTATCCAACTTAAGAACATAGATAATGACATTTAATTTACTTTAAGCCAAGCCTATGACTTTGACACATTCATTTTGATTAAATAATTATACAGACTCAGAGGCGGAACCTTTGTATTTGTGTGTTTCTGGTACACCTCTAAATCTGACACACAAAAAAAACATAAAAAAAAAAAAATAGCAATGAAGTTTTTGGTTTTGTTTTATGACCTTGTCAGTCTTTTCATTTACTCAGTTTGACAAGGTTGGAAATTTTAGGGTAAATTTAACGGAAATTAAGAGAACAAGAGCTGAATTATTAATATTTTTTTAAAATAAATAAAACTGATTTATTTTTATGTAATCAACTAATGAGTGAAAGTTTGAGTCGGGCAACATTCAGAGTAAAAAAAAGCCCAAAAGTCCCCGGGCGGAGGAGGTGACTCACGTTGGCAGAGGGGGTAGTTAAAGTAACCAGGCGCGCACTGGTCACAATGGTAACCATGGAAACCGCTCCGGCACATTCCATGACCAGTCATCAGGTCACATGACCCGTCCAGGCAGCCAGGACCCGAACACTGGCAGGCTGCTGGGAAACACGAACACAGAGTGAGAGAGGCGTAGCAGAACCAGAACCAGACAACAGAACCGGACAACAGAACAACAGAACCAGACAAGAGAACAACAGAACCAGACAAGAGAACAACAGAACAACAGAACCAGACAACAGAACAACAGAACCAGAACCAGACAACAGAACCAGAAAAAAGAACAACAGAACCAGACAACAGAACCGGACAACAGAACCAGACAACAGAACCAGACAACAGAACCAGACAAGAGGACAACAGAACCAGACAACAGAACAACAGAACCAGACAACAGAACAACAGAACCAGACAACAGAACAACAGAACGAAGTAGAAGAAAGAAGGAAGGAAGGAAAGAAAGAACAAAAAAGGAAAAAAGGAAGGAAGGGAAAGAAGAAAGGAGGGATGAAGAAAGGATGCATGACAGAGAAGGAATGAAGCTTCAATGGATAGATGAGGAAAAGGAAGAGAGGAGGGACAGAAAAAAATCTTTAATTCCAGATTCTTCGGGATAAATCTTGAAAATCTAAAATCTTAAATATGAACTTCCTGTCTGCCATGTTTGGCGTTCCCGTCCGCCATGTTTGGCGTTCCCGTCCGCCATGTTTGGTCAGATCAGTCTGGATAAATGAAGGAGCGTTGTTCGTCTCTCACCCTGGCAGTTGAGGCCGTAGAAACCCGGAGCACAGGTGTCACAGTGATCACCGCTGAACCCGGGTTTACAGACGCAGGTCCGGGTCCGAGGGTCCGGCCTGCACGAGTTATCCACCGTCCCTGCCGCGCTGCATTCACAGTCTGCATGGAAAACACAATCACACCGGCATGAAAAACAGAGGAAAACTGTAGAAAATGTTGGAATAAAACCCAACAGATTGCAGGTGATCTGTGTTTTTAGACTGGCTTATCTCCTCTAAGCTACTTTCTGTTCACACCAGAGTTTTCCCAACACTCCCTCAAATATCTGACGCAGACACAGAATAATTCACAAGGACTCAAGGTCAGACGTTTGCTTCTGTTCCCAAAGCACAAAGAGCCAAAACCTCGTTTGTTTCAGTCGTGTGATTATAATGTAATACTCAAACTAATCTGACGAAATCCATCACAACCACAGAGCGCTGTAAAAAGTATTCACCCCATTCTTCTTTAAAGGGTTTTTAATAATATTTTTAGTTAAGAAGTAAGTTGTGATGACAATCACATTTATTTTCTCCAAAAAAAACACACAAAAAAACACACACAAAAAAACAGAGGTTTGGATACACTTAAAAAAAATCATAATTTCAAAACTTTTCATCATCTTCCCTTAATTTTTCTTTGTCTAACATTAAAATTTGAATAATAACCTGAAACTTAAACAATAATTAGCAAAAACACCTATGTCCTCTTCAGTTTGTGGATAATTGAACAAGAAATAAATTAGCATAGTTTATCTCTATGCTAATGTTCTGGTTAGCATACATATATGCTTATTATATAACTAAGTTATGTAATATATGCTGTAATAACTTAGTTATATAATAACTAAGTTATTACTAAGTTATATAACTAAGTTATGTAATAACTTAGTTATATAATAACTTAGTTATAGGGTTAGAAACAGAACAGATAGATTGGGTCCGGTCTGAAGCTGGTTACCTTGGCAGTCGGGGAAGGAGCTAAACTTAGTTATTATGTAACTAAGTTTAGCATTCATACGTCTGGTATGTCTGGTTAGCATTGCTAACCAAAAAGGAAGGAGGGAAGATGCTAACTTTATCTTTTCTAATTTGGCTTGTAAGATTTAAAATACACACAATGCAAATTATTGTTTGCTTGCTGATATATGCGCTCAAATCCATCCTACTGCACATTTAGATTCAGTTTTTGACTAAAACTGGAGGAGAACTGAAGTTTTTAACCATCTCATTAGGAAAAGTGACATGATTTTTTGTTAAGAGCTATAATCTGTTGATAAATTAGAATAGATATCATTATTTTGGGTGTTCACATTTTCATCTCTTCTTATTTCACCGTTTGAGTGAAGAGAAGACTTACTGATGATCTCTCCAGCTGGTTTCGCCTCACTGTTGTTGTCAGTGTTTGTGGGATCTGTAGGGATGGCTGGTGAACAGAAAGAGTTTCACTTAATAACTGTATCCATGAAAATCTGCAACATGTCAGGAATGTTAAGCTCCAACTTACGGTAACACTGTGGGAAATTGATAAAGCCGCTGGCGCAGGAGTCACAGTTCTCCCCGGTGTAGTTCGGTTTGCAGAAGCAACGTCCGGTCAGATCCTCGCAGGTACCGTCTGTGAACTCCGACTGGCAGCTACAGGCTGGAGGCAAATAAAAAAAGAGAGAAATGGAGGATAATCAGGACAAAGACGACGCCCTGAGCTGGGGAAACTGATCGGACAGCAGGTAGACTCACGCAGACAGGCCAGAGGGGAGTCGATGGGATGGTCAGGCGACCGATAGTAGGTGGGGATGCAACGCTCACAGTTGATTCCGGTGGTGTGATGCTGTCAGAGAAAGTTTCCAGAAGGGTTTCAACATCAGAGCTCCATCACTGAACGTAATAATGCCACAACGCAGGAGTCTGAGGTACCTGGCAGTTGAGGCAGACTCCACCACCTCTGTGATGTCCGTGAATGTCGAGACTGGCTCTCCGCTGGTCGACCTCGGGATCGTAGTAACAATCGAAGGAATGGCGGTGACAGTTACAGGCTGAAAGAACCAACAAAACCAAAGAAACCAGTGAAACCAAATGAACCAATGAAACCAAATGAACCAATGAAACCACCTTTAATACCAAAACAATGCTGAGAAAAATGTAGGGGTGGATGAATTTACACATAATACCACGATTAATATACAGGATAAAAAAGAATAAACTGACAAATTTACATATAAACCAAGATTATTTCCAGTAATCACATTTAATCCGATTTATTCTTTAATCTGAGTCAGTAAACATTGGAGTTTTTTTTAAAGCAGCGTGACGAAACTGAACAGAGTATAAGCTGCAACCACAACACCTCTAAACCACCAGGATGTTAGAAACTCAACATTAGATAAAAAAAAAAACTTAATTAAAAGAGAAAAGATTAGCAAAGGTTGCCCTTAAAAATCCAAGTGGATGTAACTCTGTTTTTACTGCATTATAAGAGCCCGTATCATCACTCCTCCACCACCGAGCCTGACAGGTAAGAAGGTTTTGTACTGAAACTGATTTGTGTTTTTCTAAATCTAGAAAGATGATTTGTTCTGCTTAATGTTTTTATTTTTCTCCAAGCTTGTCTTATGTCCAATTTTTATTATTCACAGGAGGAAAAAAATATCCATTCTGAGAATTAATATAAATGTAACCAGAACAACTGAAAACATTTCCATTAGCACATCCAAATGTGGTTCCCCTCCCCAACCCATTTCTGCTGAGAGTCATTAAATTAAAGCCAACTCATTCTGTTGAACCAACACATGAAACACATTCCAGTTCAGGCTTCAGCGATCACACCTTCTGTGTGTGTGTGTGTGTGTGTGCGCGCGCACCGCGTCGGGCCCCACTCACATTCACATTCATTAGCGCTGTAAGTCGTCGCAGGTTTCCACGGTAACTGGTTGTACCCGGGGCAACAGTGGTCACAGGAAACGCCGCAGGTGTTGTGCTGACAGTCGCACTGCAACCTGTGAAACGAAACGAACGGAGAAAAACGATAAACTCTCAGCTCTACCGGGAGTTTCCCTGTTAGGGTTGAGAAGGTTCTGATGTTTCCTGTAGAAACAGGAAGCTGATGCTGCAGCTCCGACCAGCAGCTTCAACGTTTCCTTCACCCTCTAATCGGGTTAGTCAGTGACCCCGCCGCCCACAGAGTGTGGTAAAAAACACAGCAGGGAAAGATACAGAAAGACTTTTTTATCTTCTTAACCAAGAACAAAACTCCAGGCAGGACAGAGCAGGACTGGGACGAAGAGGAAAGAGGAAAAATTTCTGATTTTTACCACCCAACTATGAACTTTATTCCAGACTGACCTGATTAGAATCAGATTTTTATAGATACTGAATTTTCAACACTTTTTGCAAGTGAATTTTTTTTAACTGCCCGCAAAAAATTTCCTTTAAAAAAAAAAATTTACTGTCAAAAACTAATCTGCAAAATTTCATTTGTAAATATTTGTTTGCAAATGTGGTGGCCTTGTAGTGACCTTGTGATGACCTTGTGGTGACCTTTGTAGTGACCTTGTGGTGACCTTGTGATGACCTTGTAGTGACCTTGTGGTGACCTGAGCTCAAGCAACAGACTCTAGATCAAGTCTATCGGCTTTTAGCCAATCAAATTACGCTCCTTTGATCACATGACAAGCAGTCACCTGGTTACTGCTGGATGTGGAGACACCATTGTGAAATTTTCTAGGCGAAACTTTTGCTGACAAAAAAAATCTGATATAATTGCCTAAAATAAAAATAAATGCTGTAAATTGGGCAAAAAAACTGATACAATTTGCCTTTGGGCAAAACTAAATAGAAATGAGTTACATTTGGGCAAAAACCACCAGATTTGTGTTGCATTTTCCGTCCGTCTACTTTTCCTCAGTGAATGTTAAACCTTCCTGCAGATGAGGCTCCCTCAGCCTCTAACAGACATTTGTTTCATTTACCATCAAATCACAGACTGATGAGAAGAGCTGAGATGAAGCATAAAGATCGACTCGTCTCTTTCCTCTGAACAAATCTTCAAACCCAACAGAAGAGATTAATCTGAATTCCTCGTTCAGGGTTTCCATCAGTCGAAGTCCTGTCAGGCTGCTGCGCGTCCACAGACCCTCATGCCCCTTCTGCTTCTCCAAATGTTTAAAATACTAGAATACCACTTCAGTTACATCATTATATTCCCTCTGCTGGCTGTGATAATTGTTTAAATTTCATTTAGAAAGCAGACGCATGACTTCAACATCACTTTAAACACAAGATCGGTTTGTTTCTGGGTCAGAACTCATGAAATGTGAGGGAATGAGGCACGAAAATCTTAACGAGTTTCAACATTTAATTAATCTGTGGAATCAAAAAAGTATTTTCGAAATGAATTGAGTGTAACTCCATTCCTGTGACGGATGTCTGCATCTGAAAGGGATTTGAGTTAGAAAAACAGATGTAAATATGAATATCAAAGAAATGGAAAGCCAGAACCATCTTTGTTTGTAAAAGCTGGTGAGATTTTTATCCTTTAAACCTGAAAGGACAAACTGAACAGAAAGAGTGGTGAAATGTTGTGAAAGGGGCTCTGAACACAATGCATGGACGTGTTATCAGCACAAACATGCATGCAGACCTGCAGGCGGTGCAGACAGTTACATTCAATGCACCCAGATTCAAAATATTGTTTCTGCTGCTTCCTGTTTAAAGTCTCAGCGCTGCAAGGGATTTTTTTAAGCTGGCAAAAATGTGCCTTCAGAAAAATGGCACCAAAGATTTCCTTTTCTCTTTGCCCAAATTTGAACCAGGTCCAGCTTTTCTTGCCCAGCTGCAACTCATATCCGTTATTATGTCAGTGAAGCTCATTGCATCCCAATTTTACGTGAAGGAAAGTGTCTTAGCTCCTTTAATCTAACAGTGAAAGCAGATTTAACCCAGCAGTTTATCATGTTAGCTTGTTCTCCGTCTCCTTCCTCTGACTTCACTCCTCTCCTCCTAATCGACTCCTGCGGATCCTGCAGAGCGATCTGAGACCCCGTCCATCCCACTCTGCACCAGAAGACCGTCTGCAGAGGCTTCCAGCAAGCCTGAGCAAGAGTGGATCTTCACACATGCATGGCTGAGTGCAGGAAGAGCAGAAAGTGTGAAGCAGAGCTGCACGTTTGTACATGAAAAAAAAAAAAAGAACGCAGATGGGAAACAAGCAGACAGATTTGACTGAGTAATAATGGCTCTTCTGCAGCACCTGAGACTGACTAGTGAGAAAATAAACCCTGTAGTTTATATTCACAACACGTCTTTACCAACATGCTGTTAAGATAATGAAAGGTTTCCCTCAGCCGCTTATTTCCACACATGTGCTCCATGCGTTAAAACAAGCTCCATCCTGCCTGGACAGAAACGAGCTTCATTAATGCTGCGACACAAACTAAGTTCATCTCCTGCATGAACGTCTGAATTTACAGTAAAACAAAACATTTTTTCTAAATATTCCTCTGACTTATTTTACTTTTTGTGTCCATTAGAAGAATTAATTACATTAGCAAATTCTGTCTGGTAACATCCAGCAACTCTGTATGATCTGAAAAGTGTGGCGTGCTTCTATTCAATACAATCTGTGATTTGCCAACAAACTTTGATCTTGGTTTGGTTGAAGTGAACTCTGGTTTGGTTTGAATGTATGTGAACATCAAGCAGACCGGAGACCGCTCCAAAAGCAGGAAGTGGACAAGGAATTCTGGGTAAATTCAACCAAAACAAATGAGCTAGCCTAGTGCTAGCGGGAGAAATGACTTGTGGTCTTTCGCCAAAGACAAAAAAGAAATCCAACAGCCGCTAAAATCCATTTTTGCTTTCATTTGGTTGCACTCAGCGTTTCCTTCAGAAGTTCTTGGTGCAGCGCCCCCACAGGCGAGGAGAGGAACAGGTATTTTAAGCATTTGGTTTTTTGACGCAGAAATGTTGTAGTATTTTCAAACTTTCAGCTGTGAAAATATCCTTAATTACACAAAGCTGGAGTTGAACTGGGTTTTATTAACCAGTATCAGAGTAAAGTGGGCTGAAATTAAAAGCTTTTGGGCGATTCTTCTTTCTAAAAGTGTTTTAAAAATCATGGATTTTCCTTTTACTTCATAATTATAACCACTTTGGTTTATAAATTCAAAACACACTGGAGCTTTTGTTTCAAACATGACAAAATGTGAAAACTTTTGTGATGTAAAACATAACATGTCTTCTAACCCCAACTCTGGCAGCATCTCATCTCTGATAATGATCTGAAGAATCCCCCCGATGATTAACCGTCCTTACACCTGCAGGCTTTCTTGCGGTAACAACTCCCAGGTCTCATATGCACCACAAGTCTGCAGGTTTTTAAGTGCAGCCAGACGGAGCTGCAGCCACAGAGTGAAACCAAATGATTCCCTTCACATTCGTAGCCTGGAGGTTTCAAACCAGCAATTCTCTTTGTGCCACAGTCACAACATCAAACATTTTAATAAGATTTTTTTTCACAATTAAGGAATAAACACACAAAGATTCCCCCTTTCAGAGTGACTAAAGCCAGATTTTTTCATGTGGAATGGCAGCAGGCGCCGTTTCAACATGTTTCAACTTTTCAGATGTAAAACCGCTTTACTATTTACTTAAGTCAAAATAAAAAAACACTGTGTGAGTACAAACATCTTTACCTGTTTGTTTTATGACCTTACTGAGTTCAATCTGCCTTCCAACATGTCTTTCAACACTGCTCTGTTGAGGTGAAATTTGGACTTTGACTGGGCCACTGCAACATCTTCATTCTCATTTCTTTTTTTCTTTTACCTCTATTAAATCACTGTTAAACACACAACCTGGGTCAATTCCTGTTTCACTCTTCAATACTTCGGTGTCCACAGCAGTTCATAGTTTGGTGCCAAACAGGCCCGTATCATCACACGTCCACCACTATGCTTGGCAAAAAGTGAAAAATAAATGACCCTGATTTATTAGTTTATTTTGGGTTTTGGACTTTAACTCATTAACTTTGATTAACTAACTACACAAAGGTTCCAGGTAGAACTTTTGTTTCATGTTTCTGGTACGTCTGTAAATTTGACGCACAAGCCACATCCACTAACAGAGATGGACAACGAAGCCACTTGTTGTTAATTTCTATGACAAGAAACGATCTTACGGACGCCTGAGCAGACTATTGTTGTGTTCACGTTGTGCTAAATGGAGTTAGCCTATCAGAGAAGCTATTCAAGCCTAAAGTAGCTTCTCAATGCTAAACGTAGCAGCAGCAGAGATGCTAACGCTAATGTCAGCGTCCACAGTCCATATTTCTGTCAGGAGAAATAACCTGAAGAACAGATTAAAAATAATAAATGTCAACCTTGTTGAGCTCATATGTATTTTTTCCAGTAACTTAGAAGCAAAAAGGGTTTTTGAATTGAAACTGAAGCTTATTTTGTCGAAATATGGTTTTCTTTGCAGATCCTGTAATACTTGATTATATCAGTTTTAATCGAGTCCCTCCAGTAGTGGTTTTGATTTTTAATGTTTTTCATTTAGGAAAGCAGCTTAGTGTTGATTCAGTAGAATAACTGTAGGGGGTTTGACTGCACTGAGCGGCGATTAAAATGAAAGGTTTGAATTGAGTCCCAGTGTCAGTTTATTTAAGGTGGCTGGTTCCTACAAGCATGATGAGACATCAGTTGTTCTCTCATGTATTAACATAACATTTCTCCTTCAGTTTCATTCATCCCAATGCAACAATTCAAACTAAGCAAGGCGGCCATGTTGTACTTCAAACACCAAAACTTCAATCTATTTCCAACTTTTCTGCCATGAATTAACAGTCAGGCCTGCTAAACTAAAGTTCCCAGAGTGTCAGATACATTCCTGATCAATAAAACCTTCCGGTTTGAGAAATCAGATTCTTACTTGTAAGGGTCGCTGGGGTCGTTGGCGTTGCAGGCCTCGGCGTGTCCGTTACACACACACCTTCCTCCGATGCTGATGTCTTTAATACTGTAGTAGTACTGCAGGAAATCAGCAGCACATAGGGAGTTATCAGCAACTTGTTTTATTAATAAACCCCCACTGACCCTGTTCAAACTGCCCCCTCAGTGGGGCCTCACCCTGCGGGTCACGGTGGGGTCGCGCAGCGCCTTGCCCATCAGGTGACCCAGCAGCGTGTTCGTCCTCAGGAAGCGGAGCCGGATGTTGGTGGCCTTGGTGAAATCCCTCAGCACTGGCGAATAGGAGAAATTCAAGGCCCCGGGCCGGCCGTTCACCAGGGACACCACAATCTGAGGATGGGGGGCGCCAAAGTTATCAAGGGACAAATGAAGACAGAAATAATTACAAATGTAGAAATTTTATAAAATGAAAGATTTTTGTACCAATAATTGTTATTACTCACATGTAAACTGGTGGATTATATCTATTTCTGTAAGTTTTGGTGATATTTAGAATAACTTGTATATAAAAAAATAAGAACTAGAATCTAAATTCTTACTTTTGCATTAGGAAAAATAGTGAACATTAAAGGTGACCTATTGTTCTTCCTCACACAGGTTATGATAGCTTTATGGGCAACACAAAACATGCTAGTTACATTTTTTGCACAAAATAATTCTTAGATAATGAGTTTTTAGTCTGCTCAGTTTGCCTATTTTGTTTTAGGGCTTCTTGTCCCTTTAAATCCAAATAAGTTGCTGCTGGCAACGCCGACCTCAACCCCCCAACTCAATGTTTACACTCGCAAGTGAAAATGGCTACAAACTGATGTGCAATTACACAACCGAAAAGCAGAAGTGGAGCCTCCTGCACACCTAACAAGAATACACCAAGTGGTTTCTGAAAGGCAAGAAGACATCAAAACACTCTTCTTTTCCACCAGATTTTTATACAACGATGAAACCAATTGGCCAAACGTGATGGAACTCTGCTTGGGTTGCTAGGTAACGGGAGGAATGCCGCTGGGGTTGCTAGGTAACAGGTGGAATGCTGCTGGGGTTGCTAGGTAACAGGTGGAATGCCGCTAGGGTTGCTAGGTAACGAGCTGTTGTTGCTGATTCGTGATGTTACATTCCAGGTCGTCTTCAAGACACCAAAAACATCAAGTTATTGTCAAAAAATAGTTTTAAGGGGCAGTAGAAGCCCAAATAGAGGTACAAAAATGTGCAAAAAGTGAATTTTGCCTAGTAGATCCCCTTTAAAATAACAACATTAGCATAAACTCAGCGTTTTAATTAACTCTCTGTTACTAAGTATTTCCTGCACATGTTGGATCACCTCTCCGTTTTCCAGCGGGACTATTCGTGAGTACTCCGTGGTGCAGATGATGTCGTTGTCGTTGTTGATCCTCTCGATGGTTCGCTGGCCAAAGCGTTCGATGCAGTCCCTCTTAGACGCTGCAAAACACACAAAGGCAACAAAGGAAATGTTTGCAAACATTTATGGATTCCCCACCAGGATTACAGCCTGAAGATAAATAAAAAGCAGAGTAATAAAAATATTTTAAATGCCATGACTTCAGTTTGTTCAGAGTAACAAGCAGCTCTGAGTTTTACAGCCTGAAGGCTAACGCTAATTTACCCAACTAGCCGGAGAAACCATGTCATCACTTTTCAGATCCAGTTACAAATTTTTAGGTTGGAATGAAGTCTTGACTTTGACTGGGCCATGAATCTGTTTTAATTTAAAACAGGGGTGTTCAAAGTGTCGCTCTGGGGCCCATTTACAGCCTCTGGATGATTTTGTGTGGCCCGTGATCACAGATCTAGAGTGAGACAAATATGATGTGTAAGCATAGGGTGACATTTTTTAAAAATTTACAGATAAAATGTTCTTAAAATTACAAAATAAAAGTTTGTGGAACAACAAAATGTCCAGATATTTGCATTTGTCATAATTTTGTTGTGTTAAAGAACCACAACCAAAAAAAAGAGAAAAAAGAAAGAAGAAAATGTATACCTGACACTAGTTCTGCTTATAAAAACATAAATAAAAAATAAAAATCTAACTTTCTTGTTGGATTCAATCAAATTGTTTCTGGTATGTTTTAGTTTATTATTTTTACAAGATACAAAAATGTCACATAATTTTGTGCATTTAAAATAACAAACTAACTAGGAAAAGGGCCGAAAGTGCTTTCAAATTACACATACAGATTATTTTTGGACTGGGTGACTCTTGAAGGAAATTAGTTGGGATAATCAAATTAAACAGAATGTTAATTTGTTTAATTTGTTAATGGGGTATAAACACAGCCCCGTGTTTATACCCCAACACGGGGCTGTGTGACGACGTGAAGCCGTACCATTGTAACCAATAGAAGTCAACTGCAGTACCACTTTTCAACCCAAAGAGGGCAGCACTGAGATGAATTTAAGCAAAAATAATGCAGAACTAAGCAAATTTACACAAAAATTTCTAAATTCACACAGAAACATAAATATAGAACCATAAATAACCTACTTAGACAGTTAATAATCAGAAAATAAAGTTGATTTGGGGGTCAGTTTCACTTTAAAGAAAAGCTGAACATCTTCCCGACGATGCTAAATTGTAGCAGCGGAGGTCCAACAGAACCGCTCATCTCCTCAGATGCCGCCTCCTCCTTTAATCAGCTAAACTCCAAGCTGTGGCCTGTTGCCAAACATTCCTGGAATCCCCCTGCAGCTCACCTCCACCAGCAGCCGCCAATCAGTTAACATGACCTCTGACCTCAGACGTCCTGTTAACTATAGATTAGAGTTGTAGCTACTGCCTTCCCTGACATGAGTGGGTGTAGTGACAAACCTGAACCTTCAGAGTTACATAAAGATGGTTACAAAGTCGGCCTTCTATCTGAAGTTTTGGTTCAGTTAAAAACAAAAAGAAAAAGAGGTGACCATCACACCAATTCTCTGACAGATTATCAGTCAAGCTGGTGATTGAATTAGCTAATCTACGACAGCGATCACTTATTAATAATCATTAAATAAACATCAAGCCTGAAAACATAAAACTGCAATGTTCTGTTCTTTGTGTGGGAAATGTTTGCGTGTTTTTCTGGTGTCGAATCCTGATACATTAGTGGCATTTTTGTCAGTTGCTATGGCAACGTGTCTATGTGTAGCCAAAACAGAGAGCGAGAAAAAAGAAGAAAACGAGTCTCTTTGAGTTTGGTTTTTCTGCGTTATTTTTCCTGTAGTGCGCTGCACTAAATGAATAACACCTACCCCTCCAGGTTTCATTTAGTTAACAAATCGTTGTACTGTGGCAGCAAAGCCATGGATGGCATGTAAAAGAACCGTCTTTATGGCATCCAGCGCAAAGTTTCTGGATGTGAACAATCACATGCAACTTGATTGATTGATTGATTGATTGATGCTCATCAATTTGGTTTTATACTCACAGGCGAAGTACTGCCAGGGCTGGTAGGTCTGCCCAGAGTCCGTGGATCTCTCCAGAACCCAGAGGTCCGGACGGGGGGAGTTGGCAAATTTAATCAACACGTAGGCCACATGGAAGAGCTGCAGAGAGGCGGGGAGAAAAACAAAAAACATTAATAAAGATTATATATAATGCTGCAAAATGATTTCTTCTGTTTTTGTTTTGTTGTCACACCGACATGTTTTTATTTTAGGGCGTTTTCACGCCTGACAGTCCTGTAGACTGTATGAATGGAGAGCAAAATTGCAACATTAGGTACATTTTCAGTTGTATTTTCCTCTAAATAAGTTAAATTATCATTTCAGACCAGATTTTTAGTTATTTATCTGATGTGCTAAGTATTACCAAGCCATTTTGTGTAGTTTCTAGTGAAAACATCTTTGTACACTTGAAATAAAAACTTTAAAGTAGCTTTTCAGCAAGAAATAGGAACTCAACAGTTCCTTAATATTGAAGAAGAGGTGCTAGTTTTACTGACATATTATTTCACTTATAAGTAGACATTTTTCCCGTATTATAAAATAATTTGTATTTTTTCATCAATATTAAGAAATTGACTTAAAACAAGAACATGAAAAGTTATTTGTAAGTCAGTTTTATCTTATTTCAAGTGTAGTAAGATATTTATACTAGAATCTAGACAACAAATACTTGGAAAGATTTTGTGTTTTTGCAGTGGAAGTAATTTGAAAGGAGAAAAAAGTTTATTTTGCAGCACAGTGACAAGAAAAAAATAGAAGTTGACCTTTTCTTTAGCATCAGATAGAAAATAAAATATCAAAGAACCATGAGGAAATTAAAGCTCAGAGAAAGGACTGGAACAAGAAATGACAGATATGAGATGAGAACAAAGAAAAGAAAATATGACTGACGACAGGTTAATCAGAAACAGGAACAGCAGCCAGCTGCTGGCCTTTAATAAAACCAGCCGACCTCTGCAGCGACCCCAGCAATTGACCTTTAAAACATGGCCTCTCTGAGGACGCGGCACGTCAAGAACAACTAAATTACCTCTGATCTACTGCGTCCTGGTTCTGCCACAAGTGGCTGTCAAACGGCTGATTCCTGGGTTTCCCAATGAGCTCCAGATGTTCGGCGATCCGTGGTGTCGGCGCGGCGCGGCCGCAGCCCGGACGACAAACTGCCCTCAGCGGTACGGAGGGAAACAGGCCGAGCTTAAAACACTCTGACTGTTTCCCAGCAGGAAGAGGACGCAGCGCAACGCATGACATGCATCACAACTCCAAATCTGTTTCCCTGCATGAAGCTAGGCATTTAAAAACCAGGCTGATACGATGATACAATGATGCAACTGTAACCTCAAGACTTTAAAATGAGTGTTTGGGAGAAACGGGGTAAACATACCAGAAAATATCCTAAGCTAATTTAGCTACCGATTAATTGTTAATTGGAGTATAAAGACTCCAAAAAAGGCTATTTGGTGACAAAATATACTAAAAGTAGTAATTAAGAAAAGATTGTACAACAATATATAAATTCTGCTTTTAAGACAAAAAAAAATCTTTGTTTTAGCTTTACCTGGTTCAAATTCTCTAATGAAAAATAATTTTAAGAACCTTTTACCTTCCAGTTAATAACAGAAACACAAACGGATCATCCCCAGACTGGATGTTAAGTCAGAAAGGGTCGAACTTTTCACATATTAATGTCAGAAACATTTCCTCTTGCTGTAGATGCATCTTTCACTACCAACAAGCGTTCAGTACAGAAATGCTGGGAGAAAAATTATCTGCAGATCAAGTGGCCTTTAATAATGTATATTTTAATACCAAGTACACACAGGCAGTATGGATATCCCTCATATCAATACTGATACCGATCATTTTTAACTAAGTTAAATATAAAATCAAACTTCTGAACTCCAGGTGTTTCTGTGTTTATAAAATACTTTAACTTACAGGGTTAGTATGCATTTAGGGTGCATTTTTCCAAAATAAACAAAGTTTTTCTTTTAACTAAACAAGGGGTAAATATTCCAAAGATTTATATTGAGAGACCAGGAAACAGAACGCAGCGCTCCTGTGTCCCTTAGGGTGGAAAGATATTGGCCAAGAAAAAAAAATAAAACCTGGACATTCCTTTGAATCCTGGGTTAAAGTTTGACTTCCAGGGCAAATTCCTTGAATCTCCACCCTCAAAAAAACAACCCTCAGGTGCACAAGCCGTCCCAATCAGCCACGTTTTGATTTCTGTTTGCTCACATGTAAAATCTGGAGGTGAGATTAAATAATCCAGCTGATGGTGAAATCTATAAGAGTATAGAAACATCCTTTATTGTTCCTCAAAGGGAAAATTCATGACAGCAGCAACAGATATATATTCACACAAAGAGTCCTTAATGTGTTAAAAATAATAAAATAATACTCTGTTACCCAGCAGGTCGTTGCTAGGTAACCAAGCAGCTTCAAGCCCCCCTCCACATCGACTTCGGTTACTTAGCAACAAATTTATCTATAAAATCTGTCACAATTTTATAGATAAATTGTGACAGATTTATCTATAATTTGATTCTCACTGTTTAATCTTAAGATCAAACTGAAAGAAAATCCCCACTGTGACTGTCTCCAACTCTCAGTGGGAGCCAAGTCAGTTGTCTTGTATGAAAGCGCACACACACAC